GAAACTCCTGCTCGTCAAAATCCGGGGCGCGGTCGTCAAAAAACGATGGCGAACCCGAGTCCTGGCAAACCCGGGTCTTACGCTCCCCCGACTCATCACAGAGTTCGGCCGCGCACCCGAAAAGGAACCCGAGTTACCCCTGACCCGAGTTACCCCTGATGATTCGGGGCTCTTGGACGCCCGAAATATCCGGGGTAACTCGGGTCCGGGATAACTCGGGTTCGGAATCCCGAAAAGCGAACCCGAGTTATCCCTGACCCGAGTTACCCCTGATGATTCGCGACTCATCACAGAGTTCGGCCGCGCACGTGTCTGCGGAGCTCCTCCTGCCCTCGCACGTCCTGCCGGGTCTCCCCGGCGCCCGAGGCCGGCCGCGCGCCCCTCCCCCCCGCCGACTCTCGGCGGACGGGCCTCCGCCCTCTTCCAGTAGAGGCGACCAGGGACAAGCGAGCAAACATACAGAAGCCCCAGCATGCCCAATCTGTTCTGTACGATCTGACTGTTTGTCTTCCCCTCCACTCCCCATAGATTCCAGGGGGAAACCCAAACCTACCTCGCGTTTGACCACCCTCGCTTCCAAGAGATACCAAGCGATGCCAGATTGCAGCCTGTGCTGGTCAGGCCGCTTGACGAGGAGGCGCGTGGTATGGCTTGGTTTTGCCTGGAAGCGAAAGCGGGGTAGGTAATTCACGCTCTGAGATTCGCAAATTCCCGGGGAAGCGACGATCATTTGTGCCTGTGCGTCTCCCCTCGACTCCTCTTCTTTTCCCTCCCCCTTCGCGCCCCGAGCCCGGCGCGTGCCGGCGGTGCACACACCCGCGCCCGCGATGGCCAGCGCTGCCCATCCGAAGCAACTGCGGCGCGCTCCTTTCGGGAGCGGCCCAGCGGGGTGCCCAGGACGTAATGACCGGCGGCCTGCGCGCGGCCCAGCGGGGTGTCCAGGACGTAATGAAACAAGAAGAGGCGCCATGAGATCTGGGGAAATATCATGGCCCACGCCATGATATCTACCCCCCCCTAGTCATCACCCCCCTCTTTTCCGCCCCCGATCCTTGGCCTGCAGGCCGAGGGCCTCGTCGGGGGCCGGGATCGCGTCCCCGGGGTGGAGCAGCAGCAGGGAGTACAGAGCCTCGCCGCCTGCGCAGGCACGGGCGCGGAGGGTGCAGCCGAGCGGGCACAGAGGACGCAGCCCCCGAGCTCGCGGGAGGGAGGGGAGCGGCAAGGGCGGGCTGCGTTTGCTTTGGCGGCGGGATTCTTTGGGAGAGGAGGTAGGCACGCTGAGGGGACGAAGCGAGCACCTGATGATCGTCGTCCCACACGTCGGTAACGTCAGCAAGTGGAGGAAACACCGGGAGAGAGAACATCTATCAATGGCACGCTGCCGTGGTTAGCCCGTCAGCGTGTTGCTCCTTCGTTTGTGCCCGAATACCTGGCGTTCCTTCAACAGTACCTCGCCTCGCTGATGGGTTCCCCACGGCGGGGCGTCAGTAGTTCTGTGTTGCTCCCCGACCTACGATGGAAACATCACTACTCCACGACGCAGACGTGGACCTGCGGGCGAGTCCGATGAGAGATGGGGCAGCTGGACGAATTTGGGGCCTGGGCCGACCTCCGAGGATGTCTCGAGCGCATGGGGCTGCTGGCCCCCTGGCCGTTGGGTGACAGACCGTTCAGTGAGATCCTCATTGGTGGTTCGGGCTCGTTGGACGGTCTGTCTTCCGACAGATCCCTGGATCCACAAACGCAGCATCCACGCTTAAGGGTCGAGCTTGACCTGCACTGCGGGCTGGATGTCGCCAAATGCCTTGCGACGTCTATATCAGGCGCACGCTTACATGAATTACAGATCTGTGGATCTGGCGCGTGGGCGCGAGATCCACCGATCGGGGTACGGGGCAAGGTCGCTTGATCTGCAGACGGAAGGCACCGATTCTGCGCGGCAACGGGCTCCGTCGCTAACTCGCGCATCTTAATCCGTGTTTGCGCCTCCTTAGCTCTAGTGCATGTTTCCTTTTCGTCCTTATCCTCCCCCTCCTCCCTCCGACACGGCCCTGGGGCACCCCCGAAAGGACCAACACCCAGAAAGGGACAACCAGGGCAACCACAAAAGGCGTCCCCGCCGCCCGCACGCCGGCGAGACCCCCACTTTCGGTGAGGGGTTCCGCCAGAGGAGGGGGAGGAGGAGAAAGAGGCGAACCCTTTGTCGCACCCCTCCGGCCCGACTTGGGAGGAATAGGCAAGGGGCTGTGTCTGACTATCGTGCGCCGTGGCCTCTGGCATCTTCGTGACTTGAACCACGCGCGCGCTTCGCGCGCGGTTAGGTTCTAGTCGCGCTCAAAGACATATCATGGCACATCAACTTACCGCTGGGTATTGCCAGGTTGAGTCGGGATTTCCCTTAAGGTTGGTCGTTAGACCTGCCGCCGCTTGATATGAAAACCCGAAAGTAATGTAATGGGGGCCTTTAAGGGCTTCGACGACGCGTCGTCTGGCGCTTAAAGAGATCAAAAAGAAGAACTGGGATGCCCGAGTCTGGCTCCGTATTGCACATCGCTTAAGCCCAATCATGATGCATCGGGACCCTTGCGCGCTTAGCACGGGCTCAAGTTCTAGCCAATCATCGCACATCGGCGCATGCTGTTCTACACCATGGAGATCCTTTCCTACTCTGGCTCTGACTCTGACTCTGATTATTACTGCTGCTTGTCCTCCCTCTCTCCTCCTTTCTCGTCACTTTCATTATCTTCCTTGCTCCGCCTTCTCCTCCTCCTCCTCCTCCTCGGCATGCGCCTTCTGTGGTATTCTTGGCCTTGATCGTTGACGCCCCTTTGGCCTGGATCCCCGTCTCATCCACGATCGTTTTCCCGATGGCCTCCGAAATGGTCCCAAGAGAAGCTCGACAGCTCAAAGGCATGGGCCCCAAAAGCCCCCAAAGGGTCCCCTAGAGGCGCCCATGACACCAGAATCCTTCAAACACCGTGGGTAAATAACAGATTTTGGACTTCTCACCGGTTCGTTTTCGGCGTGCTTCCCGGGTTTCAAGATGACTCCCAAATAAACTTTTTCAGGATCATTGCCCGAATGGAACGTTGGAAGCCCGCGCCCTCTCACGGGGCCTCTTGGGGCGTTTTGGCAGCGTCTTGGCCGTCTTGGAACCGTTCCAGGCCGTCCAGGAACGCTTTGTTGGCCCTCCAGGCGCTTCCTGGAGGCGTCTGGAATCTGGAGGTTGTCTTAACCGATCGTGGGGCGCCGTGGGGCCGCCTCGAAACTCCGAGGGCTGGCCAGGGAGCCCCCGGGGAGGGCGAGGGCCGCTCTGTACAATCAGAGCCTCCCTCCGGCGCCCGGGGTTGGGACCATCTATATATATATATATATGTGTATATGTGTGTATGTATATGTGTATATATATGTATATGTATATGTGCTTATATATGTGTATGTATGTATACATGAATATGTGTAGCGTACATGCATATGTATAACCTGTATATATATGTACATAGTAATCGTGAGCACCCTCGGGGCCACGGGGGCAACTTTTCCCAGAGGGGAGGTGAGGCAGCCGAGCTCACGAGTGGCAGCGGTGGAATCGTCGAGGCCGAGGCTCCGCTACCCCTGGGAGAGAAAAGTAAGCAAGGCTTGAAGGCGAAAGCGGGGCGGGAAAATTGAACGAGGACCAGGGCGGGACCCCGCTCTTTCTAACTCCCACTTCCTGCGCTCCATCCAAAAAGTGACCATGAGCGCCCTCGGGGGCATGAGGGCATCTTTTCTCAGGAGGAGGTAAGGCAACCGGGTTCACGAATGGCACCGGCGGGGCGGTCGAGGCCAAGCTTCCGTCACCCGATCCCAACCGGTGAACTGGCCAAAGGCCGCACTCGAAAAAACACAATCATTCTAAATTGTTTGTTGCTCAGTGAAACGTCGGTAAACTGTTGGCCAACAGTAACTGCCCAATGTATCCCTTGATTTGTCTCGCCCGACATTTCAATATGTGGTTTCTTGGACCGTGAACAGATCTTACTTACCATGAGGTCGGCACGTGCGTTCGATACCTGCACATATCCCCGCATCCCACATAGCGATGCTGGCGCACTTCATCCAGCGTGTCCCGAATCTGCATATATCGCAGGCATGCACGACACACGAGCTGTGGCATGAGAGACAGCAAATACGCGGCGCCCGCCACATCAGATAAGCTCCCGGATTCTCGAGCGCCGCTGGAGTGTCATGGCAAGTAGCGAGGCGGATAACCTGGGTCAAGAGTAAGTAGGTGTCGTCTCCAATATTGAGCTGGAGTTGTTGAGAGGGGGTCAGCCCAGAGTCCCATGATCTGTTTCGCGCACCGAATAGCAGGCCGTCTACCAATCGACGAAGTAACACACGGCGCGCCCAGCCAAATAGCGCCCACAACACCCCCTCGGAACCCTGAGAACAGGGAATCCTTTGGAATGTATAAAACGGCCGATGCTACCGTCCCCGGCGAAAAGCCCTAGGAAGAGAACATCTCGGCTGCGGGTCGCGTTTTCCTGGGCTCTGGTTAGCAGATGTTGGAAGTATCTGCGTACCTTTTGGGCTTTCCCTACCTCGGGCGCAACGTGTGGGCCTGGCCCAGCAGGGTGCTGGGGGGCCTCGACACCTCGCGCTTCGCGCCTGACTCCAGCAGCACGGGCATGAGAAGCTGGCCGCGCTGGCCCCCGACTCCGCCCTGGATCGCCCGCCTGAAACTCTGGGGAACCTCGCTTCCGAAGCTGAACACGAGGGAAAGATCTGGTTGATCACGCGAAGCAGCTAGGTGTCCTTTCCGCACCTCGTGAGCGACGTCGTCGTGGTCCAGCGGCCCCCGCGCACCACCTGCTCGGAGGTTCGTCTCTGCGTCGCCGGACCCCCGGAGGCGCCTCCGCGACGGAACTGGCACGCGCGGGGGTCGAGAGAGCCTGGCCCGGGGCCGTCCGCCATCGCTGCGAGCGCCTCGCGGCGCAGCTCGCTACTGAAGTTCAAGAGCGTTCTGTCGGGGTGGCTGGCGGCCTTCAGCCCGAGGAGGGGCCCCCGCAGCCAGCGGCCGTCTATCGCGACGGCGTCGTCGACCGCGCCCGTCTTCCCCGGCGCCCCGAGGGAGGTCTCGTGGAAGACCGGCCCAATCGTCGCGAACCCTGCGCCGGCCACTGGCACCGCTGCCACGGCGCTCTTGCCGACGAGGGCCACGGCCTCGATGGGCCGAAAATAACGCGCGCGAGAAACTGCCACCATGGTCGCCATCATCGGGGGCCCCAACGCGACAACCCCGCCCGCTATCGCCAGCGCCGCAAGTCGCGGACGCGGAAGACGCGAATGGGCAGGCGCGCGTCGACTCCAGCTGACAGCGCACATCGCGGCACGGGGAAGAGCCACCCTGGTCTTCTTGCGCAGCTCGGGGAGAACGCAACCCAGGGCGTCGATCGGCCAACTCGCCCCGACGGCGCCGCGGCCCTCCATGCGCGCGTAGAGTTGAGGCGCCCCGCCGCGACGATGTCCAGCTCGACCGGGCAGCTCCGCGCCAGGCTCAGCATCTGGCAACGCATCAAGAACAGCCGGGGCGTTCTCTGGCACAGTGGCACCGCGCCTGGCATCGCCGCGATCCTCTTCAGCACGCTCATCCACGGGAAAGCAGTCGGTATCCGCTTTTGCTGCGGCCTCTCGAGCACGGCTGGATCGCTCCCACTTGAGCTTGCCCGCCTTGGCCGAAGCACGTTGCTGGCGAGATGTCGCCAGCGCAGCCCTGGCGCGGGGCGCGCGCGCCCTCGGGCCGGGAGCGAAGCTGGAGTTCGAAGGCAGTTGGAGCCTGGGTCTGGAACTCGAGCCAAGGTGGGCCTGCATAGCACCCGACTTGACCCAGGGATCCCATTCCGCGGGCCACGCTCGGAAGGGGCCCATCTCGCGCACGGGCGGGCACCAGTGGCCAACGTGGCAACGGATATTTCCAGGGGCGCTGCTGGCGCCCGGAAACGCGCCCAAAACAAAACGGTTTGGGATTTTCCCAAATGAACCAAAAACTCTACCATTCCCGGGAGAGGGGTCAGACAAATGACATGCGGCACCCCCCTTTCCAAACGACGCGTAGACATTTACCGGGAATGGACGGTCCCGCCCGTTCGGCCCGAGACATCCCGTGAAAAATGACCCGCGACGCCCCCGCGCCGGCATGGGGCGCATTTTTTGCTGCCGCGCCCCCGAGAATATACTTCCTGACAACGACGGGGCCGCTGTCCGTCGGAAGGGGGCGCAGGAGGTGGGGCGAACGAGCGCGGCCCTTGACCGCGCCCCAGCAGATGGGGCAGGTTATCCACAGTCGCCAGCACTCTCGATCCCCGGGCGCTTCCAGCCCCGAGGGTGCGTTCCTGTCGAGTTCCCTGCGCGATAGGCAGACTGCGTTTTGGTGGGGCCAGGAGATTATGGGTCTGGTCGAAGACCCGGGGAGTCGGGGGGCGCGTGGTTCTGCGCGTCGATGCACTGTTCGACCTTGAATCTCAATTTTTCTGACATCCCGCCGAGCGCGCCGACGGGGGCAGCTTCAGCCTGCCGGGCGCGCGCGCCCAGGCCAGACGTCGAGGCGCCGGCGGCCAGCGCAGTCGCGCGCCAGCGGGCTGACCAACGTGCGCTCATCAGCGGCAGTCGACGCCTGATTGACAAAAATTATCGTCAAACAGCGGACCAAATCTCCGCAAACCTGCGCCCGTTGTTCAACGCAAAAGCACAGCGCTCCTGCGACGCACTGTAAACCTCGCGTCGGATAAGCCCAGCCAAAATAATATGTCCCAGGAGAGCCCGAAGATGGCGCCCACTGCAGCGCCGCCGTCGCAGAAGCGCCTCGATTGCGAAGCGCAGTCGCCACAGGTCGCAGTGCTCAATCGAGTGCCAGTCGCCCCCGGCGAGTTGGGGGCCGAGAATATCTAAATCGTGGGCAACGCCCTCCACGTCGTGAGGGATAAAACCCTTCTGCCCCAGAGCTCCCCGAACGCCCCACGGGAGTTGATGCGCCCGTGGCCCCGATAGTCGAGGCGCTTCCCGCGCGCCCCGCGACCGCGACGCTGCCCGCCTGGATCACAGCGGCTGGTTGCCCCGCTGGAGAGGCAGGGACTTTGACTAACGCAATGGCATGCCGGACCGCGCATTGACATAGGAGCAACGACCAGGACCACCCCATAGGAAGCCCGCGCGCCTGAGGGGCGACGAGGGCATGCGGGTGGAGGCGCTGCCCGTTCAAAGTCTGGAGACCCAGGTGTCGGGCAGCCAAGTGCGGCAGTCTGGAATAAGGCCTCAGAACAGACGGTAAGCCCATCCTGTAGAATGCGGCATTGACGTCGCCTGTAGCCGCGGCGGCTGGCCCGTCGGACGCCACCTGGCTGGCCGAAGAAGCAAGTTGCAGCACGACAGAGAGTGAGTCTCTGAAAGCAGAGTTGCACGCGCGGGAATTAAAGATCACGCGGGTCCCCCCGCCCTTCCTGGCGGCAAGAACATGCCGACATACTGGGGCGGTCCACTCGAGCATCCCGCGATCGCACAGAGAGGGCGAGGAAAGCGGAGTAGGTCCTGGGTCGTTGTGCAAGGAAAGTCGATGCGCGGTTCCCTCGGGCCCAGTTCTCGATGCAAAGCTTCGGCTTCCTTGACATCCCGAAGCCAATTCACGTGATACTCGCGCAAGCAAGTAGAATCCCGTCACGCAGGCCGCTGCGGCCTGGCTGGGGAGGGCGAGCAGTCGCCTGCGTCGCGGCCTTCGAGTGGACCTAGACCCGTCGTCGCAGTGCCCCGAGGCAGTGCAGATCTCGCGCCTGTCGCCAGATCTGGGGGGGGCAGCAGATATTGCAAAGCAGAACTCGCGAATGGGAGCGTCTCGTTGCCCGGCGTTCTCGATGCCGGCGGGTGTCTCTTCGCGTGCCTTTCCACGCGGCTGGCTAGGACAAGGAATCCCATCGTTGGCCCAGTCGCGACGTGGCTGGGCTCTCCTGCGCCTTCGTTGCGCACTGCGACGCGGGAACGCACGTGCCCGATGCTGCCCCACCTCCTCGGGCAACAAAAAAAGCGACGGAAAGATGCCCCGCCCGCGCGCCCCGCAATCGCGCTTGCCCGACTGGCGCGACAGGCCAGGCGGCGGCGCGCATGGCGGGCGAGAGAAATCGGCCTCGAGTGGAAGAACACAAGGGGATGAGGGATCTGCACACGAAAAGCTCGGAAGACAAAGGCATCGCCAGTCGAAGGGGCCACCGAGGTCAAGGGCGGCGGCCGGCCAATCTCCGCCGCCTGGGTCTGAGCCAACATCTGTTCCGCCCTTCATCGTCTTGTTTTTGATATTGGCGCTGGCCCTCTCCTCCCGAGGCTTGCACCTCTCCTTCGCGACGGGCGCTTTTCTTCTGAAGCTCGGCGGGCGCCAAAGACTACAGGGCCGGGCAGACCGCGACGTTCCCGCGGGCGTGATCCAGCCCCACGCGCAAGCAGGCGTCCTGAGTGGTCTCGCCGCTACTCCCCGCGAAACTCGGCATCTTGTCGTGGCAGCGCTCCTCCGAGAGCTGGATGGCCCGCGACGTGATCTCTGCCCCGGCGACGTCTGGAATATTCCATTGATCGAACGTGGCCATCCTCTCAAGCATCTGGCAGAACGTACGAGGACTCTCGGCCCCGCCGTCGTTGTCCTGCAACGTCGCATCGGCCTTCCACCGAGCGCGTCTACCGAGCGGGGTTTGGCCGTTGGACGCCGCGAGGTAGTCCGAGGCCCTCTGACTGGGAAGTCGCTGCACTGGGTCTTGACCATTCCCTCGACGGCCAGCCGAAACTTTCTGAAGCGAGATTCTGAAGCGTCGCGGGCGATGGGCTGCACGCGGATGTCGTCCACTGTCGGCGTCGCGGCGCTCCCAGGCGCCATAAGACCAGGGGCAGCTCCGGCTGGCACCATCACGACGCCAAGGCCCACGACCAAGGGCGCCGCGACGGGCGCAGGCGCCGGCGCCACGGCGGGCGCGGCGGGCGCACAAGCTGCTGGGCCGCCGCTGGGCGCGGCCGCTCCGCCTGCGCCGCCAGCGCCTGGAGCTCCAAGGGCGGGTCCGAGGGACGCAGCCAGGGCGCCGACCCCACCTCCGACGATGGGCAGCGCCGTTCCAGCGGCCCCAGCAGCTGCCGCGCGAGCGGCTCCAGCATCTCCCCCGACGACTCGTCCAGCCAGGTTGGGCTGCTTGCCGTCGCCAAGCACGGGGAAACCCCTCCGCCCTGCAGCCGCCGCGCGGGCCTTTTGGAACGCCGTGGGCGTCGGCGCGTTGTGGTACACCGGGGCCGCGAGCCTACCCGGGCCTGGCGGCGCAGCGTCGCCGCAAGCACCACTTGCCAACAACCCGAACCAAACGATCTCGGGCACCTGGATCCGGTCCTCCACGTAGCTGTCCCTGTCAGGCGTCAGCGCGCTCACGGTGGTGCCAGCGCCGGGTTCGATCAGCACGATCGTCTTGTGGTACAGCGGAGTGCCCGGCACGTTGTATTGAACAGCCCCGAAATCGCCAGTCTCGATGTTTGAGGCTCTGCACCAGCGGCGGAACCGCCGCTTCCATCCTCTCAGGCGCGGCAGCGCCGCTGGCGAAGCAAGCTCAACTGCTCCTGGGCGAGGGTCCCCAGCTCCACCTCCTGGTCCTGGATGGGTTGTACGATCTCCACTTCGTGGGCCACAGAGCCCCCGCGCTTGCCGAGATGTCGGCCCGCGCCCCAGACCGCCACCAGGGCCGCGCCCAAGCGCCCGCAGCTCGTCAAGACCAAGCCCGACGATGACCACGAGCAGGCGCAGATCGGTGGCGCCTGGGAAGCCGCCGATGGGGCAGGCCGGGCAGGCTGGCGCTTGGGCGCCGCGCTGGCGCCGTGCTGGGCGCCTGGGCGCAGGCTGGGAAGCGCGGCGAGGAGCTCGGCGCCTGGGCGCCGCGCCGGGGCAGGCCGGGCAGGCTGGCAGCGCAGGTTTTGCAGGGCACTGCGGGCAGCGAGGACACGGGGGAACTTTGGGACAGGAGGCGAAGCAAGTGAGGGAAGCCTCCCACGCCCAAGCAATCGCCTGTGACCACATCCGAGGTCGCCGAGGCGGCCTCGGGAAAAAATAAGCCAAAACGTTGTGCGGCCTGGCTCTTTCAAACATATATATATATATAGTTCGGTACACATGTCTACATTTGCGTAAGCATATATATATATATATATATATATATATATATGTATATATATATATATATATATACATATAAGCATGTATATACTGACACGTACAATGACGTATGTATGTAGAACAGGTGTGTACACGTATCTAGGTATGTATGTATGTATGTATGTATGTATGTGTGCATGTATGTATGTTTGTAGGTATGCATGCATGCATATATATATATATGTGCGAGTCATGTACAGATGTGTGTGCGCGTAGCGATACATGTATACATATGTACATATATATATATATATATAACCATCGCGCGAGCTTCGCGCACGCTCTGGTTCTAGCCCACGCTGGGTGGGGGGGGGCGCTGGAAGATCTTGGACAGCGCTATCAAGTGCAGGCGCGTGACATAGTGGTGCCTCCCGAGGCCTCTTGGGAGCCTCTTGGGTCTTCGTGGGGGTGTCTGAAGGGCTTCTGGGGGATCCTTCGTGCTTCCTTAATTTTTCTGTTGGGGGAACCTCTTGGGTGATTCTTGGGGTGGCATAGTGGGGTTTCTTGGAGTCCCTTTGGGGACACGTCGGGGTTCTCCGGGCATCAGAAGGTGTTCTGCAATCTTAAGCCGTCATTGGCCGTGCTGGGGGTGCCGGACCACACTTCCCACTCTGAACCCATTGGCACCTTCCTGGGCCCCCCCCCGGGACCGCCCCCAGCTTCCCTCCAGGCTCCCCCCAGGGTTCCCCAAAAGCTCCCCCCAAGGCTCCCCCCACCCCCCCCCCAAGACCCACCAAGGCTTCCCCCAAGGTCCCCCCCCAGGCTCCCCCCAAGGGCTCCCCCAAGCTCCCCCCCCCCCCCCAGGCTCCCCCCAAGGTTCCCCGAAGCTCCCCAGGTCGGGAGAGGTCGGGAAGAGATCGGGGGGGGTCGGGGGGATCGGAGGGGACGACAATAGGGCGTCGTGGGCGGAGCCGGGGGGGGTCGGGGAGAAGTCTGGAGGGAGGTCGCGGGGAGGTCGGGGGGAAGTCGGGGTTGGGGGGAAGTCGGGGGGAGGCCGGGGTGGGGATCGGGGGGGAGGTCGGGGGGGGGGTCGGGGAGGCTCGGGGGAGGTCGGGGGGGAGTTCGAGGGGAGGTCGGAAGGGGGCCGGGGGAGTAGGGGGGAGATCGGGGGGGGTTATGGAGAGGTCGGGGGGGAGGTCGTGAGGGGGGGTTGGGGGAAGTCGGGAGGAGGTCTGGGGGGAGGTCGGGGGGGAATGGGGGCGGTCAGGGAGGATCGGGGGAAGAGGACGGGGGGAGGTTGGGAGCATGTTGCGGGGAGGCGAGGGGAGGTCGGGGGAGGTCGTGGAGAGGTTGGGGGGGGGTCGAGGGGGTCGGGGGGGTCGGGGGGGGGGGGGGAGGGGCGAAGCCCCCCAAGCATGAAAGCATTTAAGTGTGAGCAGTGGCACTTCCCGGGTGGTCCCCACACTTAAAACGAGACCAGTAGCACCCAGTGACACCTTCCAGGGGGCGCCACTGATCATGTAAGCCTGAGCAGTGGCACCTTCCTGCACCCCCCCGAACCCCCCAACCTTTCCCGACCTTCCCCGACCTCCCCCCCGACCTCCCCCCGGATCCCCCCGACCCCCCCCTGAGACCCCCCTACCTCCCCACCCAGACCCCCCCCGACCCCCGCCCCCTCCCCCCCGACTCCCCCCCCCCGACCTCCCCCCCCCCCCCCGACCTCCCCCAACCTCCCCAACCCCCCTTCCGACCTCCCCGCAAACCTCACCCCGACCCCCCCCGATCCCCCCCGAGCTCCTCCCCCCCCCACCCCTGACTTCCCCCCGACCTCCCCCGACCTCCCCCCCGACCCCCCCCCGAACCCTCCCCCTCTGCCCCCCCGACCTCCAGACACCCGCCCGGCCTCCCCCCTGCCCCAAGGTCTGGGGGAGTCTGGGGTTGGGGAGGGGGAACTCTGGGGAGGTCGGGTCTGGGGGGTCTGGGGGGGGTGGGGGGGCGTCTGGGGGGGGGGTGGGAAGGAACCTGGGGGGCCTGGGGAAAGGGCGCGGGAGCCTCGGGAGCGTTCATAGAGGCGGCGTCCCGGTTAAGTGTGGAGTGCCCCCCCCCCCCCCCGTGACCGTCCTGGCTGAGTGGAGGCCCGAAGTGAGCCACCTCGGGCCACATTGACGCAATCTGGAAGCCTCCCGGGGGCTTCCTGGAGGCAATTTTGATGCATCCGGGGCACTGCTCGGCTAGGGGGCCTTTGGGAGCCTCTCGGGGGGCTTCGGGGGGGCCTCGTCGGACCACTGGGGGACTCTTGGGGCCTCCTGTGGGCTTCTTAAGACGGAAGACTCTGCTGTTGGGTTCGCGTTACACTTCTTGGGCCGTCTTGGGACCGTTTTGGGACCCTGTCGGGATGTCTTGGGCGCCTCAGGCACCGTCTTGGGGCCCTCGTGGACCGTCTGGGGGCCCTCTTGGAGGCCTCTTCTGACGAACCAACAACACACACCCATACCCATAGGGGATCGGGGAAGGCTATGGGTGCGTGTTGTCGGACGGGGGTCCCCGTTCGAACGGGAGCGTTCCCTCTTGGAGCAATCTTGGGGGCCCCTTGGACCGTCTTAGAGCGTCGGGATGCAAGAAGGCTGAAAACTCTAAAATTCATCAAAAAACCAATGGGACAGCAATGAGTTGTGCCTCTTCGGGCCGTCTTGGGAGGCCTATTGGAACCGCTGCGGTCCTCTGGGGAGCTTCTTGAGGGCCTCTTGGATCCTTTGAGGGGCCTCTTAGGACTTCCTAAGAGCCTCTCGGGGTGGAGAGCTCGCATGTTCGGTTCGTGTCACCCCTCTTGGGTCCCTCTTGGGGCCGTCTTGGTGCCCTCTCGGGCCGTCTCGGGCGCCTCAGGCACCCTCTTGGGGCCCTCGTGTGCCGTCTTGGGGCCCTGTTGGAGGCCTCTTCGGCTATCTTGGAACGGTTTTGGATGGAGGCCGTTTGTGTCGTGTTGGAGCGTCGGGACGCCCAAAGGCTGAAACCTCGAAAGTCAATAGAAAAAAAAACGATGGCAAGACAATGATTTCTTGGGGCATTCGTGGGAAGCCGCTTGGAACCTCTTCAGCCCCCTACGGGGCGCTTCTTGGGACCTCTTAGGCCTGTTGGGAGTTTATCGGGGCCTCCTGAGAGCCTCTGGGGTGGAAGGCTCACATGTTCGGTTCGTGTTGCTCCTCTTGGCTCCTTCTTGGGGCCGTCTTGTGGCCCTCTCGGGCAGTCTTGGGCGCCTCTAGCGCCGTTTTGGGCCCCGTTTTCGAGGCCTCTGCGGCTGTCTAGGAGAGGACATTCGGGCCTCTTGGGCCGTCGTGGGGCGTCGGGAAACTGAAAAGGGGAGAATCCGATTACCCTTCAAAAGCCAAGCGGGAACAATTATGCGTGCCTCTTGTTTTTTTAACTGTCGGCGCAGCTGAAGGCCGCGCGCGGCCAGCCGGATGTGACAATTGAGGGTCAAAGAGCATGCAAACTTTCATATTGGGTTGTGGCGGCGTGCAAATCTGCAAGAAATTTTGAGCCCTGGTCGAGAGCCGTGGCCTCAGCGACGAAGGAAAATAAAACGTCGACCTCATCCACAAACACACCAGCCATATAAACAATTTGCGAACCGTCCCCCCAGACAGCCTCGAGGATCCAAGCTGCTGCAGAGCACGCGTCGCCCCGGCGACCGCCGTCGCAATGGACGACAAGATTCGCGTCTCGAAGCTGACGGCCGGCAGTTAATGGACAAAAATTCTGCCAAAAACGTTTTTCGTCCATGCTGAAATTTGCTAGGTGGTCTGCTTCCACATTGAGCTCGCGGCGCCTCCACACGACAGGATCCGCACGGCACTGGTGGGGCAAGACGCCTTTGTCGAATAGCGTTGCCCAACGGGTGCAAATACGGTTGACGATGCGGCAGTGGTCGGAGCCGTCCGGGAGGATGTACCCATGATGACGTCAACTAAAGGTTGACAATCACAGATGATGATGAAACGACCTGCGCCGGCCTCCCAGTTGATCGGCTCATCGTGGAAGTTGATGGCTGCATGTGTTGCTGGCAGTTCCTCCAATGTATATCTCTTCGCCCGGAGTCGTTTGGGTGGAGGGTAGTCCTGCACGACCGCCTCCGTTGTCGCCCGAACGCACCCCACGACCGGGAGTCCCCATTGGCGGCAGATCCACGCGCTGAACTCCCCGAAATGCCGCATCCACTCCTGTAGGGAATGGTAACCGTCGCGGACACTCCTCCAATCGACGCCGAAATAATCACAAAATACATCTTCCCAGTGAGAGAAATTGCCTCCAGTGGCATGGACCATACTCAATCGCAACGGTTTCTTGTATTCTTTGGCATGTTTATACTGCTCCCACCAATCCCGCGCGCGGAAAATCGGGCTCTTCCTCAAAAGCTCAGCTCCGGCACTGCATGGAAGAGAAATCTCACGCCATGCGTTTTTAAATACAGACTTGAGCACGCGTACACATATGGGGCATATGCTGTGCACCTGCATCCATTTTCGTATCAAAGCCGACGTGCGGGCATTGGCGGTCATTGCGCTTTCATCTGGTTTGCGGCGGAGCCGGAGCACTTTCCGAAGGTACTGCCATTCCCAAGTCTTGAGTTTGGCATCCTTGGGAAGCATCTTGAGAGCCTCTTGGGGCTCCTTGGGAGGCATCTTGAGGGCCTCTCGGGGCGTCTTGGAAGCCTCTTGGACAGTCAGGGGCAAATTCTGGGGCCGTCATTGGTCGTTTTCGCAATCTGAAAGCGCCCATTTCTGGTGATCCGGGGTCGTCTTCGGGCGAATTTAAAAAGCACCCGGCGCCACGGCAAGGCCCATGGGGCCCTTCGAAGCCTCTTGGCCCTTTTTGGAATGCTCTGTTGGGAATGCTCTTGGAGACCCCTTCGAAGCCTCTTGGGGCCCCCTGAGGGCCTCTGGGGAGGAGGGCTCGAAAGGCCAGTCAAGTACATTCTCTGGGCCTCTTCTTGGGGCTGTCCTGGGGCCCTCATGGGCCGTCTAGGGGGCCCCGTGGGCCGTGCTGGTGCCCTCATGGGCCGTCTCGGAGCCCTCTTGGGGCCCTCTTGGGTCGTCTTGGGTCGATTTTGGGGGCCTCTCGGACTGTCTTGGGCTCTGTGAAAGTCCAAGATGCGAATGCCCAAAAAATCTAAGGTTCCTAAGGGAATGGGGCCATTTTTGCGTTTTGAGGCCCTCATCGGAATCCTCCTGGGGGCCTCCTGGGCCGTATTTTTTTTGACTCTGACCAACTACCGTGACAGGCCTACATGCAGACGTGAAGCATGCGCTGTGCCTTGCCATACTTGGCAGTGAAACTCTTATACTAAGCTGCCAACGTCCTCAATGGCCATGGCTCCAGCTGTGGTTGATGACGCAGGTGGAAGAATCTATGTGCCGCCCATAGAGAGGAAATAAAGCTACGACTACTAATGCGCCGCACGGCATGACGATGATGATGATGTTGCCGCTGCTGATGATGATGATGATGATGATGGTGATGATGCTGATGATGATCATGATGAGTGCGGTGATCACAGATATATATATATATATATATATATATATATATATATATGTATATGTATATACATACATATATACATACATATACATATATATGTATGGAGACATCGCGAAACCATAACGCCTAAACAACATGTAAACCATAGAAACTTGCTGTCCCTTCTGGTGACAGTCGGAACTCCATGTCCCAGGTCATTCACTTTAAACTCTTATTGGCAACGGGCCGACGACAAGGGACTCCAAAACACAAACCTATGATCTCGTGTACGGTCGAATCGCCAAAGAGGCATCAACAAAACATTGTATCATAACCCAGCTGTGACTGGCAGAGCCAAGGCATTTCGTATTCGGAAGATCGGTAAGTAATGCCAAATGCGTAATCATATCAGCAACAGTCACATGAGCTGCATTGAAAAAATGCTCCGATGTGTGCAACTCCGTATGAGGCGTGGCTATCCTGAAGCATCCTGTAGATTGACAACCAAGCAGCCAGCAGGCTCCTGCATGCCTAGGGAACTGCAAGTCAATTTTTTTTCTCAGGGTAAATCCGACGTCATCGTCGGAAATCAAACGAGGATACTGCAATCGACTATCCAAGAAGAACCCTCCTCGTACACATCCACAGGACATTTGCAACAGAGGGGATGCACGCTGCAGGACCCAACCCCCCATCGAATGGCCAATCAAACAAATGTCAGAAATTAGCCCTGAATCCAACACGCAAGTTGCCAGCGCGTGCAAGCCGACCTGATCAAGGGTGAGGAGGGCGGTCCTATCCATCAATGCACAGCTCGATGTACACGTTTGGTTCTCTCGGAGGCGCAAATGAACAACTTTGTCATACGCAGCGCCCTCAAAAAAAATGCGTGTGGGGAGTTGAAGATTGTGGACGGCGGCGACGCAACAATTGACTGACACTGTTCGCACGCGCGGTTGCGCAATGACCGATGGCAAACGGCTTGGAGATCTCTATTAGATTGTTGCGCTGCCCTGGTGCAAGCCAGCGTAGATCACGTGTTCGAAGGACCTTCTTGATAGAACAGGCGCGTTCGACCGCTGGTTCTTTGGCTGGATAAATGCCTGACCGTGCGTTTCCGATACGCATGTGCACGAACACATGACTGCACTGACTGCGGGTCATGCTCCTCTTGCCCGGCAAGAAATTCAACGTGTCCAACAAAGTGCAAGCCATGAGCCGGTGATCACAATCTACAAGGCGGTTCGCATGAGGGGCAGAATACTTGTCAAACTTGATCGGGGATATTCTCACATTCGTTGCAGGAGGAAGAACAACGTGACCAGGGCGTGCAGCTCGGTAGCCTTGCTGACCCTTGGCAACCACGAACGCACAAGGGCTACTAGTGTTTTTGACCAGATCTCGATGCGAGCGAAGTCTGGGATCTGTTAGTGCATCAGATCTCACGCGGTTCAGCGATAGCGACTGCAAACTGCCCAGAAGCTCTGCAGGCGTCAGGTGCGCACCTACTGAATGGATTGAACAAATAGGACTGCCCAACTGGCCGATAGGAAACGCGCTCGCGCAATCCATCCCGAATTCACTCCAATTCGATGCAGTCTGCCGGAACTTTCTGTAGAACAACTGGGCGTCCGCCGCCTCTTTGCTAGACCCCCGCTGGCCCGACAAAGAGTGGGCGCAACTTGCGATTGCGTGCCGTTCTAACGACAAAGTCGCAATCGCCTGTGATTCTGCTTCTGCCGTGGGGACCACGCAGACGTCGGACAACACGCGGGCGATCACATTGAAGAGAAATCCTTGCTCCAGCATGCTGCGCACGGCGATGCCGTTATTCGGACAATTTGACGGAGGCCTCCTTGTTGGGAAGAACTTGGCTCGCGACGCCAAGCACGCCAGCGGCTTCTTGATTAAATTGTGCGCTCCACCGACCACGGGAACATCCAAAATGACGTCTTCGAATCCTGCAGCGATGGTCCACCTCGCATGAAGAGCGTGCATCTATCGTACCTCACCCCTTGGCAAACGTCTCTATACAAAACACGTGTTTTGTTTGGGCCTGGCATGTGCGACCGCACCCTGCTGACCCGTCGACTTGAACCAAAATGGCTACGGGGGCCTCCTGGGCCGTCTTCGGGGCTTTCTGGAGACGTCTTGGGGGCATCATCGGCGTCTCGGAGCGACAATTCGGGGTTTCGGTTTCTGGGCCTTATGGACCGTTTGGAGGCTTCCTGGAGCATCGGATGCCGTGTCGGGGCTGTCTTGGGCCGTGTCGGAACGCCCCGAGAGGCCCCGGCATGTGCGCTCGGGGCCCTAGCCCCGGGCGCCCAGGCCTCGTGCGCGAGGATGTATGTATGTATGTATGTATGTATATATATATGTATGTATCTGTATATATATATATATATATATATACACAGGTGGCACGTGTGCCCAGGCTCATACAAAAAAACTGGGGGCGTTTGAAGCAGGAGTGAAATGTAGCAGCGAAGTCGCACTCGAGCGCAAGTGGGGTTGCCACACCTTGCGATGTGTGTTCCAGGGCCCCCCAGGAAGCCCCAGGGACTTGGATACCAGAAGAGGCTCCAGGAGGCCCCAGGATTGTGAGTGTTGTGTGGGTGTTTGTGTGTGATGTGTGCTCTGTGTTGTGCGTGCTTTTTGTACGTTGTAGGTGTTGTGTGTGTGTGTGTTATGTTTGTCTAGCGTGTGATGTGTTGGGCGTGATTTGTCTCTGTGAGTGCATGTAGTTCTGAGGCCCCAGGAAGCCCCAGGAAGCACAAGGCGGCCCCAGGAGGCCCCAGGAGACCCCAGGAAGCTTCAGGAGGCCCCAAGAGGCTCCAGGAGGCCGCAGGAGGCCCCAAGAGGTTTTAGGAGACCCCCAAGAGGCTCCGAGGCAGGGTCTGGGGTACCAGAAGGTTCAGAAAGCCCCAGGAGGCCCCAGGAGGTTCCAGGAGGCCCCCAGGAGGCTCCGAGGCGGGGTCTGGGGTACCAGAGGGTACGTCGGGGCTCGATTTTGGGAGGATGTTTCAGGCGAAACCGCCATTCTCTGAGAATCGGGGTCAAAATTATTGAAATTACAATGTGTTTTTGAAGGTTTTATGTTAAAGTGTTGAATTCCCATGTCTTTTTGGACCCTGACGTCACGATCTGCGTGAGGGGTGCCACCGATTTTCAGAATTCCGAGGATGTCCATAGCGAATCGGCCAGAAACATTGCGGACGCGGCGCCCCGCGTACACATTAATCGCCTCTGAGCTCTACTCCCTCGGAGAGGTGCGTTTGATAGTGTGTATATATGTACATGTGTATATATATAGACATAGAGAGAGATGCACATACAACGATATAGAGAGAGGTGTACATACCCTTATACATACATATCTATATATAGAGAGAGGTAAGCACATACATACATATATATACACAGATATACACATATGTATGTCTGTACATATGTGAACACATAAATAGCTATCTGCGTGTGTCAGAATCCTCCTGGGTGTTCGTTGGTGCCTCGTGGGAAGCCTCTCGAGAACCTTGTCGAAGGCGGCCGTGAAGCCTCTTGGGCCGTTGGGGGGCTTCTTGGGGCCTCTTTCGGGCCGCGCCTCGTCGGGGCCTCTTTGGGCCTCCTGGGTGCTGGTGGGCGGAAAGCTGAACTTGTGGGCTCGTATTCCCCTTCTTGGGGCCCTCTCGGGCCGCTCAGTGGCCCCTCTTGGGCCGTCTTGGGGGGGCCTCTTGGGCCGTCCTGGGGCCCTCTCGAATCATCTTGGGGCTCCCGAAAGGTCTCTGACGCCGTCTTGGTTTTCTTGGACCCCACTTGGTCTTGGGCCGTTTCGGGGCGGTCTTGGGCGCCTCTTGAGCCATGTAGGAGCGCTGAAGCCCGAAGCGGCAAGAACTCCAAAATCCTTCAGAACCCCCCGACAATCAATTATTTTGGCTTCTTGGGGCACTCGTCGGGGTCCTCTTGGAGCCGTTTTGGGCCGTCAGGACGGTTGTCTGATCGCTCTGGGGGCCGATCTGCGGCTCCCCAACACCGGGCCCGGCCCCGAAGCGTCCCGAAAAGGGTCGCCCCCCCCCCCCACGGGACTACAAAGGCCTGCACTTTCGAAGAAAAAACCTCCTTCTAAGAAGCCTTCCCCCCTCCCTGCCCCCCTCTGCGCGCCGGTAGACAACCAAAAACCGCTCCATCACAGAGCTGTGAGGCGGCCAACTGCGCGGCAGCGCGCAGGAGGAGGAGGAGGGAAAGGACAGGAAGAGGGACATGGGACAACCATCAGCACGAACAATATTGCCCACTGCGCTGTCCCAACGCGCATGTACGCGCGGATTCCACTGCGCACGAAGCCGGCCCGTGCGGCGTGGGGTGCCGCATTTTCCAAGCAAAATCTGGCGCGCCTTGCCGCTCTCGAAAAACATCTCCCCAAACAAGCTGCGTGAGGTGGCGGCGGGGGGGCTGGGGGCAATCTCCGGCGAGGGACCTCACCGCTTCGTTGCTATCCGTGGAAGATCACGCCGCTTGGTCGAGTTAGATGTCTCAAGCATGTGGTCCGGAAACCATGGAGCCTGTCTCTCATCGTCACTTAGTCAAAAATGGCCATCGTTGCGCCGTCGCGATGCAATGTTTCTGCCGTGATCAAACATAGCTTGTCAACTTACGGGCCGCGCTGCGACGCGAGCTAACCAGCGCCCGCTGTTTCGAGCAAAGCGGAAGTCGCAACTATCGACGGGCAGGCTGAAAGAGGGTGCCCCTCAGAAATCCCAACATCTTGCATCCTCTGCGAACTTGTGCCGCGCCCATCGTTAACAGCAAACCTGCGTACCCTGCACATGGATTGCCCCATGGCGACCATGCCCAGAGAAATCCGAGGGCGTCGCAACGCGTTCAAGAATATGTCGGGTCGTATTCGGCCGAACACGTTGCTGCAATCCAAAGGAAAGAACATCGAAGCCCGACGCTCGTCTTCCAGGGCAGCCAGCTTCTACGAGGCGACACGCTGAGATGAAAACCTTGGCACTGCCCCGTCCCTGGCCTGAACCTATACTGCGATTCTCGCAGCACTCCACCAAATAATCCAATGCAAATCAGGATTTGGGAATGTATACGCCAACATGTGAGGCAAGAAAAACGGCGGGGGCGACAGATGCTTGCCGATACTCCTGGGGTTGGTCTTTGCCACCCCAATTTTCCATTAGCAATTCAACCTCAATCCCCGACTATGCGTCGTCTGAGCAGAGTGACTGCCGCAAGTCCAGCAACGCGCCATCACTCCGAATTACTTCGGGCACGTGTGAAACCTTAACCAGTTGTCGCACTGTTTCATCAATGATTCGACCCGCGCCACTTATGGCAACGTTTGCCGATTGTGGCAGCGTGTTCGGCCTGGTTCTGCCATCTAGTCGGTCGGCCACTGTTTCTGCCCCGGCCTCGGCGCGCAACAACCCCCACTCAGATTTCGCAGTCGTCCGCGCAGGCCAAAGTGCGCCCCATTCTTCGGATTTCGCGATTTCTTCCCACTATGATATCTGGCCTGCGCGCGCAAGTTTCTGGATGAGCTTGTCGGGCCTCTGATGTCGACACTTGACCGTCCTCCCTGCATAATTCCATCTCATGTCTTCAATCAGGCGCAACGTCGTCCAAGATATCCGACTTTTACCGAGCGTGGTCGCAAGAAGTGGAGCATGCTGCGACAGAGCGTCCCAAGCGCAGCTTGCAATGCTCTGCACCTTTGAATTCCAATGTGTATGAGTTTGGCGCTGTTTACAATTTCGCGATGCACCTAGCTGGAAAATGACCAACCCAAATTCGATGCGCATCGCGGTCCACGTGGGTGGCTACCTGGATCGCGCGGCCATCGGGATGTCCACCCGAAGGTCGACGAGGTGCACAACATTGCGAACTTGCAGGGGCCTGCGTCGGTCGCTTGAAGGCCAAAGGCCGCGCTGCGTCCATGGGGCGCGCACTCAAATCGCAAAACGTTGCCGTCGACTCCGAAGCGACGCAGCGCGTGCAACCATGTCCGAACGCATCTCGATCAGAAGCTCCTTGTTTGGAGCGGGATCCCATTTACTGATATGGCTCTGGAGCGCGTCCTTTTCGCCGATTTCAAAGTTTCCCCGGGTACCGCTGTAGTAATCTCGCTGCGAAGCCACTCAAGCATAATGTGAGTCCATGGCATCTATATCTGAACGCAAACAGAAACAACTCATAACAGAGATCGCGTCGGATATCAGATGGGAACTCAATTGTCCAAGCATGCGCCGTGATCAATCTAAACATTCCCCAATTGCCCCAATTCTGGGACCTGCCACCCGGTTGCGATGTTGATCGAAACCTTTGACCACACGTTTTGCCCAAGGTGTCACAATGCAGCTGGCGCCGGCATGTTCCCTACTGTGTCCCCCCCAAAACCAAATCATAAAATAACGTTCGAATTCATACGCTGGTGAGCCGGCACAGTGTCTATTGGTGACACAGCAAGGCGATGTCCAGGTCTCGCCTGTGCTGAATCATCTCGCATCAGTAGGGCTGACGGTCGCAAGAAATGCCTTCGACATTCGAAGAACTACTTCAATTGCACGTGACCGACGAGAAAACGACAAATTTCAACCTGCCTGCGGCATTCCCATTTCTATTGTCAATACCGCTTTGCATTTCCAGCCCCGATTTGACACCAACTTTGTTGCTTGTATCAGCTTATTTTCGTAGCCAAGCCAAACATGTCGTTAGCCAGTGTGATAAGGTGGTTCACTCTTGGACGATTGGTCAAATCTTCTCATTCTTTCCGAACACCATCCTATCATAGCTGTGTGGTCTTGTGTCTGTTGGAACTGTCACCACGGCGTCCTTCGCTACTCTGAGCACACAATTTGTCGATCTCGCGCGAACCTCTCCCACATTGCCTCAACAATCCGAATGAACAACTCAGTTCGGCACTTGTTTCTGGTTGACAGGCTCGGGTCCACGTTGTTTTCCCATTGCGGTTAAGCCACGCCGTACGATAGATGTTCACGTGCTTGTATTGTGTATCGTTGCTATTTAGCTGTGCGAGAACTATGCGCTTTCAAGTCGCCGTGCGTAAAAATGCCGATATCCTCTGGCGCATGGATGCGTAGAGAATACGGCTTCAAACATTCAATTGCAGCAATCACATTCGGAATGGTTGTTCGATGTGGGTGTACCATCTGACGTTTCAACTCATTGATGTTCGTTTACATTGCGCTGACAATGCTACGCGCAAGCCCTGTGCTAACAGTTACTGGGTTGTACGGAGTGGCTTCTAGGGCTGTGACCCTGTTCGCGATAACGGCGATGGCCGTGCGTAGAGTTTGTACTGCATTGACCAAATGTTGTTGAGAAACCCCGTGTTGATTGACAGCGTGCAGGTCTTCACGTTTGCGTCCCAACTGTCTTGAAGGATAAATTTCAAATCGTCCATGGGCAACAACTTTCCTGGGGGTATTGTCCACCATGTTTGCTCCGCTCCAGACCCCGCTTCAGGAAGGCGATGTTGGAAATGGCTTTGCTGATACCGATGCCCTGAGTAGCCGGCGTGCTCCACACCATCCCCCTCCTGCGGTGGGCTCGCCACGCGTGAGCGTGTCCGTCGCCCTCGTCTTGTCAGAACGCAGTCGGAGACGCTAGGTCCTTGAGCAACTGCTCGACAAAGGCACCACCCGCACTTGGACGGGGTCGGAGTGCAGGAGGAAAACGCAGGTGCTCGCAGGAGGCAATCTTGAAGGTGCGCGATGGCACCTGGAGGGCTTACCCTCGACACGGGGGCCCGGAGAAACTCCACCACCATCAATGGATGCTCGGGTCGGGCGAAAGGGGGGGATAGCAAAGGGGGGGTTTGAGAATCAGCTCACGTAGCTGATTTTCCCGCGCCTCCCGGCGCCGGAGGCGGCGGCCGAGGAATGGGCCCCTCGGTGAGGCCGAAACCAGCTGCATGCAGCAAATTTCGTAACCCCCCCTTTCCCAATCCCCCCCTTTCGCCCGACCCGAGATGCAAGATCGTGGCGTGAGACGCAGGTGCGCAGCGGGACCCCCAAACGCTCGCGCCGCAGCCCGTCCCCGAACCTCCTCTGCCCCTCGCCCCAGTACCGGTGACCAGGTTCGCCCCTCCTCCACCAGAGGGAAGCGAGGCGGACAGGCACAGCTTCGCCAGTCTCTACACGCGCAGCTTTCAAGACATAGCTCGAGTCTCCAACGGCCGTTCAGGACGACGGGACTGTCCAGGCACCCCCAAGAACGCTCTCGGCGAGGCGGAACCGCTGGAAAACATCCCGAGGCTGGAAAGCGAGAGACATGACAAACACGTCAAACACAAATCGAATCTCGATCTTCGGGTTTCGGCCGCCGGCTCTGGGTCGGAGGACGACGAGAACGACGACGACGACGACGAGGGCGCCCCACGGCGGAGCAAAACCGCCTGGACGGTGCACGCACGGGGCGGCGAACAGTCCGTGGGGGAAGAAGCGCGTGGCTCCCCTCCTCGCGGCCGCACCCTCCCTTCTCTCGCGGGTTGCCGCACGCGCTCCGGTGCTCGTGGTGCCCCCAGCCGATGGCGCCACCCTGGAGCTCCTGGGCAGGGCTGAGCCTAAACGGTGTTTTTCGTCTTCGTTTTGGTGCTGTTTTCCCTCGTTTTGTCTTCAATCCGCCTTCAACGCAAACCGAAATGGAAACGAAAACGGCCCACGAACTCGCCAAACTATCGTTTAGGTCCACCCCTGCTCCTAGGGCCCCCAAGGGGGTCTCTGGAAGGCCGTGGGGCCTCCGTGTCTTACCTCCTCGCGGCAGCAAAGCTCCGGATCTGGACAAAGCAGAAGCAAAGCCGAGACATTTCCAAATGCACAAAATGTTTTCCAAGACGGCCCAAGACACGCGGTGTATCCTGCGGTGTTCCGTGGTGTCCGCCATTGCTAAGGCGAAATCAAAACAAATGATTCTCCCCCGTCCGTCCGTCCGTCCGGCGGTGGCCACCAGGTATCCCGCAGTGTCCAGTGGTGTCCCGGTGTGTCCGCCCTTGTTAAAGCGGAGTTAAGACAAATGGTTATCCCCGGCCGCCCGTCCGTCCGGCGGTGGCTCGCGGTGTCCCGCGGTGGCCCGTTGAGTGAGATCGGTAGTGAGATCGATAGTGAGATTGATAGTGCAATCGATGGTGAGATCGATACTGACATCGATGTGGTGCCCCGAAGTCCCCCGTGGTGTCCCAAAACGTGAGATCGATAGTGAGACCGACAAGTGTCCCATGGTGTCCCGTGGTGTCCCGTTGAGTGAAATCGACAGTGAGATCGATGTGGTGCCCCGAAGTGTCCGGTGGTACCCCGTGCTGTCCCAAAAAGTGAGAACGTTTGTGAGATCGATAGTGAGATCGACATGTGTCCCGTGGTGTCCAGTTGAGTGAGATCGACGGTGGGACTGATAGTGAAATCGATTTGGCGTTCCGCGGTGTCCCGTTGAGTGAGCTCGGTAGTGTGATCGATAGATCGATCGTGAGATCGACTGAGTCAGATGTTGGCCCTCCCCCCCTTTCCCCCCCACACAACCTCCTCATCACCCGGAGGGTGGTCGTATAGGTATGGATCCAAAGCTTGGTGGCGTGGGTACCGCCATCGACTTGGCACCGCTGCTTGTGAACATGTTCCTTGGGATGGCCTGCGCGGCGTCTGCGGTTCACCTATATCTCGGATATGTATGTATGTATGTATATATATATATATATGTATACGTTCATTCCGGGAGCCACATCAGCAGCATGTAGCGCGCGCGAGAGGTACGACGAGGTGCCTTCGCAGTAGACGCCAAAGGTGTTGTCCGTGCTCGAAGGCCCCTGCTTCAGCTTGTGCAGACCGTCCTTGCTCCAGATAGAAGCAAGAGCTGCCAAGCTGGTGCCGTGGTAGGCGGTCTGGATGTCGGAATCCGGGTTGCGGTGCTCCGTGTCTTGATGCATCTCCTCGGCGCGAGCCGTGGACACATCGATGATCCACCACTGTCCGGTTGAATATGCAAGCGGGCCCTGAACATCTTCGCCTTGGAGTTCGGGCAGAATGCTGCTCGCCTCGATGAGATCGTTCGCCTTGGAGTTCGGGCAGAGTGCTGATCGCGAGAGATGCGTCTCCCGAGGCGTTGGGCATGCCTTCCCGGCATGTCATATTCAATTTCCCACGCGCTCCTCAGGCGCGGCTGGCAGCCCAGGGTTCTCGCGGCGCCCGCGCGGGAGACTCACGGAGCGAGCTCGTTGTGCAAGATACCACGCCATAGAGATTGTGGAGTCGAAATTCTCGCGTCGTCGCAATGCGCGCCCGCCGTGCCCAGCAGTGCCCTCCGCGCTTTCAACCCACACTCCGGATATCAACAGCTTGCGGAAACGAGAAATGGCATCAACTATCTGCAATACCGCCGGCCATCGAGTCGTCTGGTTGGATGGCACGCAGCATGGACAATTGCTCGGGGCGTCCGTCGGGAGTCTCGCGCAAGAGCATGACGCACGGCGCCGGGGGGGGGCGAGCGAAGCCATGTTCCTAGAGAGCTGTCAGAAAACTTCCGAGCCAGCCTGGAGGGCCGGCGACGTCCATAGACCTATTTCAGCAGTTCAATCACGAGCAATTCGTCGGGGGTCTTCGCGAGGAATGCCTCCCGCAGGGGTGGGGCAAAAAGAAACTCTTCCCCACCGATTTCGGAGTCCTTGAGTAAAAACAAATTCGACGTCGCCCATCCAGGCCTTAGCGCTGACTGAGGACAGACATTGTAGAGAGAGAGAGAGAGAGAGGCGCGACTGCTGCGGAGGGGGTAGGCACAATGAGAATCGACGCAGCAATGTCGGGATCATGACATCCTCGGGTAATACATCTCGGTTTAGCGTCTTACTTCTTGGGGGCAGAATCGTTGAGCTCGTCGTCGTAGTCGGCCCCCTTATCGTTCCATTTCTCGCGCGGAGGAAAAGGATTGACGCGTTTCAGAAATGTGCGGTCGATTTCTGCAGCGGCAGCTCCTCGGTGAATTCGCGCTGCGATGGTGCCGCCAGGTCCTGCTGCGCATATCTCAGACCAGTATTTGCGATGCCGCTTTGGTCCAAGAAGCCGCTGTCTAAGATGCCCAAGCAACGGATGGATGTGCATGTCGTCCTCCGCGCGCTTCTTTTTCTATGAAGAATGATCTCGTGGCATTGAGGTAGGCTGCTTCTTCTTGACGGGCTGCGCAGATGTTGCCCAAGTCGGGGGTCTTGCGCGCCCCCGACAAATCATCTGCAACCTGCACATTACGACTGCTGCCCATGGAATAGGTAACCAGTTTACCTGCAGAGTCCGCAGCTGGAAATTCAGGAGTCGATTTCGCGCTGGCGGCGGTAAATATGAAGCCACCTTTGCGGGCCAAGGCGCACCTGAGCCTCGCGCAGCTGCGGTGGACCCCCCCTGGCGCCTCTGCCGCGGAGGGCCGTCTCGAGCCTGGCTCGCTCTGCGATTCAGTAGAGGATGCGGCGCTCAAGCGAGTTCGCATGTGTCGAGCGTCGCGCCAGGGCGCTGCGCGTGCCAGTCCAGGTTCGCCGCAGCTTCCCGCGATTGGCTGCGTGCATGGATACTTCGGCGCTGGCGGTTGTGGCCCCCGATCGGCATCAATGCCTGAGTCGTGGGAAATGCATCGGCGCCTCGGCCTCTGACGCTTCCGGGTCGCGTAGAGGTTCTTCTCCGAGAAATATGGGATCGCCCTCTCTGGCAACGTCGACATGACGACGGGCGCCACGCGTGCGCTCGAGATCAATATCGAGGTCGTGAAGGTAACGATTGGCCATCTCGATGCCTCTACTGTCATCATGCGTGGCACTGGGCATTGATTTGCCCATTTGCCACACGCCACAACGCCCCGCGCAAATTGGTCCAAACCCCACCAGCAGGAGGTAAGATAATCGCGCCAAGCCCAAGCTATTCCTCCGAGCCGACCCGTCCTTGTCTCCATGCAAAGACGAGTTGGCCTTCAACGAAGGTTGGCGGTGCACGACATCGCGCGCGGAAGTCTCGGAGCAGTCGCCTTAGACCGGCCATGGCAGCACAGGACTTCATAGCATCTCGGCGTAAGTCTTCAGCTCGATGGAAATATTGCACTGGATCGGTAGACAGGTGTTTGGGATTCATGGGATCATCGGAAAGCAGCGTCGCTGGTAGACGCCGCGTAAAACCGAGAACCCGTTGCATCAGTGAGGCGAAAAACCGATTATGATAACGGTTCCGAGAAAAAAAACGCAACAACACTCCTCCATGCCGTGCCATCCGGCTGGATTATCCTGAGCTGGTTTATCAACGGCTAAACGGACCTGTCGTTCCCATGATTCTCCCGCGCGTTCCGTTCGACATTGTTTGCCATGGAGAACGAGCATCCGGGGGAAATTGGCACGATACTTTGTTCTGCATGTCATCGGCAAGCGTTGCCTGATACTCCTTCTCCAGGATCCACGACCACAGCCTCTGGCATGCCAAGAGCACGTGCCCATGTGCGCACATGCTTGCCATCCTGCCGCTGCTGATTTTCCAGCCCCCACATGCCCAACCAACTAAAAAGACGCGCCCCAACATATGACACTGATCAACGCATGCGGCGCATCACCTTGTGACCACTTGACCTCGACCAGATAAACACCATCAGCGCGATGGAATCGATCATGCATACGAACAGCAACAGGGCGGCGAGCATACATTCGCTTGTGCGCATCACACTCGTCGCACTGAAAGTTTTCCAGTGCCCGGCGTGCTACTTCAGGCTTAGCATTGCCCCGTCTCAAAAGCCCAGCCAAATCTCGATTCCAAGATAGATGGGGTTCGCTGGTCCGCAGTAGGTGCCCAGTCGAGCGGAGCTGGCACTTCATCATCGCTATCAGGTTCGGCGCTGGGTCACCAGCAAGAATCTCTCAAGGCCCACATTCTTCAGGAACAGCATTCGAAGAAAGACCGAGACTGGCAATGTGCATTGAGAGCGCCTGCTTGGTCTGATTGCGCGTTGATGAGAAATCGCGCCAGTGCCGCCCTCATCGGGCTCCGAAGATGAAGTGGGAGCTCCACTGGTGGTCTGCCACAAAATCAGTCGCAGCTTTCCTTCGCAACCCTCGGCCGTTTCAACCGCGCCCTGCAAAGTGGCTGGCTGCCACAATCCACCTGGGGCACCTCCATGCGCGGCCGCTGGGGAGATAAGTTGCCCGACCTGGATGCGACGGGCGTTTCGAAGCCAAACGCTCGTCAGCAGGGCGCCGGCGCGCATCGCGTCAGCAGCAGCTTCGCGGTAGAAGAATGCACGGCCAGCCCATCTCATGGCCGAGGTGCGGTCGCAAGAGAATCAGACCAAGCATCCCGAATGAATTCGACAGCGCCACATGAGAAGCCAGCCCCTGTCATCCGCTCGTCGGTCAAATCGTCTGCAGAAGGTTACCCGACGGAGTCGACAGCGTGGAGAATCCTGTCGCGGGCCTCGCGATGCACTCGGACACGCGCTCTGCGACCACCGACGACGTCATCTGCCC